CCACATTGTCTGCATGCAATGGTCAAAGGTTCATCTTTGTTGCACAGTCTTACAAAGGGTTTAAAAATGGTGGCTGCACTTCAGAATTTGCTACTACGCCACTCAGTGATAGCAAAGCTGAATCAGAAGGTGATTACAAAAAAGGAAATGAAAAAGCAAACAGTCATCCACATTTACAGCCAGCGTTTGCTTTTTGTTTTTGTTTTTAAAATAATATTTATTACTTTTCCAACAATTCAAACACAAAAAAATAAGAAGAAAAAAGAACAACACAACACAATACAGAAACACTACACAACACACTAAACTAACAGAACAAAAACAATTTAAAAATAAATAAAAAACATCAAACAATTTCCGTATCTTATCTTTCATTCACTTATTTCAGTGACCTCCTCACACCTCCCTTTTTGTATTCCACTTCTGTTAATTGTTTCAGCAATTCCTTTCCATCTTCCTCTGCTTTCTATCTTTTAATTTTCTTAACAGATTCTAACCTTATTTTTCCCTTTAATACTCTATTAATCTATTTATACTTAATTCCTTATAACATTTCTACTAAAGCCATATAACTTCATTCCAACATTTTTCTAGCATTCATTAATTTTACAGTATTTCTGTAAGTAGTCTTTAAACTTTTTCCAGTCTTCTTCCACCGACTCTTCTCCCTGGTCTCGGATTCTGCCAGTCATTTCCGCCAGTTCCATATAGTCCATCAACTTCATCTGCCATTCTTCCCGGGTGGGTAAATCTTGTGTCTTCCAATACTTTGCGATAAGTATTCTTGCTGCTGTTGTTGCATACATAAAAAAAGTTCTATCCTTCTTTGGCACCAATTGGCCGACCATGCCCAGGAGAAAGGCCCCTGGTTTCTTCAAGAAGGTATATTTGAATACCTTTTTCATTTCATTTTAAATCATCTCCCAGAATGTCTTAATCCTTGGGCATGTCCACCAAAGGTGAAAGAATGTACCTTCAGTCTCATTACATTTCCAACATTTCTTGTCGGGCAAATGGTAAATTTTTGCAAGCTTGACCGGTGTCATGTACCACCTATAAATAATTTCCATTTAAATTTTCTCTTAAGACATTACATGCCGTGAATTTCATACCTGTGGTCCATAACTGTTCCCAGTCAGCCATCATTATGTTATGTCCAACATCTTGTGCCCATTTAATCATAACTGATTTCACCATTTCATCCTGAGTGTTCCATTTCAACAGCAAGTTATACATTCTTGACAAATTCTTGGTTTTCGGGTCTAACAATTCTGTTTCCAATTTTGATTTTTCCACCTGGAATCCAACTTTTTTGTCCAAATTGTATGCCTCCATTATTTGATAATAATGGAGCTAATCTCGCACTCTGTTTTTCAATTTTTCAAAGCTCTGCAATTTTAATCTGTCTCCATCTTGTTCCAAAATTTCCCAATATTTCGGCCATTTGGCCTCCATATTGAGTTTTTTCTGTGCCTTCGCTTCCATTGGTGACAACCATCTTGGGGTTTTCTTTTCTAACAAATCCTTATATCTTATCCAGACATTAAACAATGCTTTTCTAACAATATGATTTTTAAACGCTTTATGTACTTTTACCTTATCGTACCACAAGTATGCATGCCAACCGAATACATTATTAAAACCTTCTAGATCCAACACGTCAGTATTTTCAAGAAGCAGCCATTCTCTCAGCCAGCAAAAAGCAGCTGATTCATAATAAAGTTTAAGGTCTGGCAGGGCAAATCCACCTCTTTCTTTGGCATCGGTTAGTATCTTATATTTTATTCGAGGCTTTTTGCCCTGCCAAACAAATCTAAAAATATCTTTTTGCCACTTCTTGAAACAGTCCATCTTATCGAAAATTTGCAATGTTTGAAACAAAAACAACATCCTTGGCAGCACATTCATTTTTATCACAGCAATTCGGCCTAACAATGATAACTTCAATTTTGTCCATATTTCTAGATCCTTTTTCACTTCAATCCAACATTTTTCATAATCATCCTTAAATAAATTCACATTTTTAGCAGTCATGTTAACCCCTAAATATTTCACTTTCTTAACCAATGTTAGTCCTGTCTCCTCCTGAAACTTCTCTTTCTCATTCACAGTTAAGTTTTTCTCTAACACCTTAGTTTTCATCTTGTTCAACTTAAAACCTGCTACCTGTCCAAATTCTTGAATCAGTTCCAATACCCTTTTAGTACTAGATTCTGGCTCCAGCGTTTGCTTTTTGGGTAGATTTGCAGCTGCAAAGGAGGCCACCTTTTCACTCTTAACTTCTTTCCATGGGGAGGAGAGAAATGAGAACGCAGAACTTTGGAACATTAGACTGCCCTGACCTGCTTTGACAGATCTGCTACAGCTGCAAATCTGTATGACTTCCTGAATTCTAGAAAAAAAACAACAATGAATATAGGAGAAGTGTGAGAAAACGAAAGCTAAAGCATCAGCAATATTTTTGCTGTGAGGTTAACTGGCGATTACACAAACTCAAACATAAACTTGTGGGAAAGACAGAGAACCAAATCTGAGCGGGGGACAAACTCAGTAGACTGCAAGTTTTAGAGCTGTGTTTATCTCTTCTTTGAAAACGGATAAGAGCTCTTCGCACAGTTAATCAACATAGAGCATTAATGGAATCATTTTTATGATGTCTGTCCTTCAGACTAACAATCTGAATTCTAGACATTTGCTCAGGGGCAAGCTCCACTGAGTTCAGTATGGCTTATTCTCAGGTCAGAGTGCATAAGTTTGTACTTAGTACTTTACTTCTATGCATTATTTACTTTTGAGAACATTGAATTTATTTCAGTGGGGCTTTCTTCAGAGTAACTAAGCATAGGTTGTGGGCTGCATTGTTGTAATCCTATGCTCACTTCCTAGGGAATGAGCCTCATTGAACTCAGTGTACTTACTCCCGAGGAAAATGTACATCATAGTGTAATCCTACCATCTATTGCTGCAACCAATTTGGGATGACTCAATCTGTAAATTTTGGTTCCTGTAAATTTCTCATTTTTTCTGGGTTTCCCCTCCCCCCAGTTAATCACTTTTTCACATGTTCATTTGCAATTTTTAAAATAAAAAGTCCTTATGAACATTCACTATCACTTTCGTATAAATCTCTCCAAAGACACATGTCCATATGCACGTTTTTGCAAAGCAACTTCCTGTAATATAATACTTTGTTGTATGTTATTTTCACAAATATACACAGTTTAAGGCACACTTTTTCTTGCATATGCATTTGTTTACATATTACTTGGCTGGATAACTGCACCACAAAATTCAAAGACATGCAAATTTTGATGAATGGCTGTGTTTCGGGTCCCACAGTTTCGCAAAGTACAGATTCGGAAGGTTTGCCTTTTATGTGAATGGAATCAGATTTATCCTCCATCCATTCCACTGAATCAATACTATCAATTTCTAATCTAAGAGGAAAATATCTGAGGCAATTCATCTTATACATTCCTAGAGCAAATAGTGGAAATCCCTTCGCCAACACCTCATTCACTTTTTAAAGAGTCACATGAAAGTGAAGGTTAGAACCACGAAAAGGGCAATCTTTCTAGAATCAGCTGAGTGAAGCAACAGCTTCATGTTTAAAGTGACCTTGACCCTGTGGGTCAAGTGCTCTAGATAAAGTGCCATGCCATGCTCCATTTATTCAGATTGTACTGAACATAGTGTACTTAACTGTAGAACCATAACGTGCCTTAATGCTAGGATTTAGATAGCTTATTCTCAACTAAGTTCCTGGACTAGAGGCACATCATACAAACTCTTTGGGTGCTCTGGTACGGTTGTATAAACATTAATTCTGAGCCTAGATCTCTTAGAGGTAGTCTGATAGATAAAGTGTGGTAATCAGCAGATCTGTTTGTTTAATGGCAGTGTGATTAAATATCATAGACATGGACAGTTCAACAGCACCTAATCTTTCCTGCTCTACTTTAGGCAACTCTGCTTCCAGACTTCTGGAATCCAATCAATATTTTAGTCCCTCTTTCCTTACCCCCAAATTTGCACACACATGAAATACTCCCTCCCCCCAGTTCACTCCCAGTCATAGTTTACACCCCTGGCTGCAATTTGGAGGAGGAAATAAAGAGCTCAACAACTTTGGCACTTTTCTTTAAAAAGCTCCGCAACTTTGGGAACTTTCACTTCTTGAAATATAGCGACTCTATGTAATGTTATACAATGTTATACTGTTATATGGGTAGGCAGGGGTTAATGGGATAGAGTTGTTTCCTTGGGAGGGTAGACAGGCAGCAGTGAAGGAAATGGCTGAAGTACAATCTATACAGGCTATTAGTAGCCTCTATAGGCTGGTTTTCTCAGTAGTGATGTATGGAAGTGAGAGCTGGACCATAAAGAAGGCTGATCGTTGAAGAATTAATGCTTTTGAATTATGGTTCTGGAGGAGACTCTTGAGAGTCCCATGGACTGCAAGAAGATCAAACCTATCCATTCTTAAGGAAATCAGCCCTGAGTGCTCACTGGAAGGACAGATCCTGAAGCTGAGGCTCCAATACTTTGGCCACCTCATGAGAAGAGAAGACTCCCTGGAAAAGACCCTGATGTTGGGAAAGATGGAGGGCACAAGGAGAAGGGGACGACAGAGGATGAGATGGTTGGACAGTGTTCTCGAAGCTACCAGCGTGAGTTTGACCAAACTGTGGGAGGCAGTGGAAGGCAGGAGTGCCTGACGTGATCTGGTAATGGGGTCACAAAGAGTCGGACATGACTAAACAACAAACAATAGGCTGGAATAGCTTCATGGTGGGCCATATTATACCAGTGTTCTTCAAAGTTGGATCCTGGAAATTGTTGGACTACAATTCCCAGCATGCCTAGTCAGTTTAGCCAGTCACCAGGGATGGTAGTCCAACTCAATCTGAGGGCCCTGTGTTGAAGAACACTGGTCTATACTGTCCTATGGAAATTGTACAGCTGTTTCATGGTGCTAAAAAAAAAAAGGACAGCAGGAAGTCCTGGGATAGCTCAGTTGGTAGAGCACAAGACTCTTTAGTCTTAGGGTCATGGGTTTGAGCCCCACATTGGGCAACTGATCCCAACATTGCAGGGGTTGGACTAGATGACCCTCGTGGTCCCTTCCAACTCTACAATCTATGATTGCAAGTCAGATCCTTTGAAAAAAGGTGGTTGGGGAAGCTAAGCAAGGAGGAGGGTGTTTTGATCCGTGTGTCATGCAGGTGCCCCATCAAAGGTGAGTGATAAAAATGTGTCTGCCTACAGTCTGTGGAAGCAGCCCTGGACAATTCTTACAACTAATGGGAAAGAGCAGGTATTGATCGACGTCACTTTAATTGGGAAGGGACCACATGTCCGTGGGGGAGCTCATGCTTTGTGTGCATTATTGAACCAGACTCAAATATGCAGTCTCAGGTTTTGCAGCCTCAATCTATAGGGATCTCAGAAAGTGGCGCTAGTGAACTCCTGAGGCTTTAGGGCTGTTTCCAGAACAGATAATAATGAATGGAGTGGATGCAAGGGTAGTTGGACTCAGTTTAGGCATCTTCAGACATTCATCCCATACAGCTCATGCTTAAGTTAACTAAAGTGGCCAAACCTTCACCTCACCATTTCTAGAGGTCCAGCTTACAGTTAAAACATTCTACTAGTTATGTTAATCTTAGGCTATTTCTGTCATTTTAGTTGCTGGATGTGTTGCTTTAAGAACAGCCTTTGGTATTTCCTGTTATTTTGATGGAAACATTGTTTTTGCGCTTTTATTTTATTTTATGTTTTGATCTAAGGGAAACCTCTCAGCCCTTTCCTATATACGGCTGAGAGGAACATTGCATCAAAGTTCCGCAAAGGTAATTGTATATAATTCCTATCTATCCATCTCTGACTTTCATGAAATTGCTTCTAAATGAATGAAAGTCCTGCAAGTGAGCTTCCCTGGCTAGCACGTTGGCAGGAAAGCAGAATTCAGACCAGGCTGACCAAAGCAGAAATCTTTTTCTGTGTCAGTGGGTAATTTGTCAGAAAGGAAATTGTGGTTTCAGAATCTTCATAATTTGAGCTCATATGATTTTCTGGCTGTACTTCCTGGTTGGGCTCGGCTGGCTGGCAGCTGTGTTTGTTTTAAGAAAAACAGGCTGGATTGTGCAAGCAGTCAGCTGATAATTTGAACCATTCAAAAAGGAGAAATCTGTGTCTTCTGAGGGCACAGAGCGTCAAACTTCAGAGGGCTCAGATACACTTTTTCCTGGTTTAAAATGAGAAGCATTATTTGCTTAAACCTGAAAACGGGCTCCTCTACAGGGGCAGAGGAGCCCGTTTGCTGTGTTTTGCATGAGCTGCTGATCTGTGTGTGCACCTCCCGATCTAAAGGAGGCAGTGACTCATGGACAAAGTCCAAAATTTGATCCTCAGCATCTCCAGGTAAAAGAATCAGGTGATGCAAAAGATCTCTGTCTGTGACCTTGGAAAATTTGACCAGTCAGAGTAGATGCTCATAGGCTGGATGGACAAATATTTGATCTGTTATAAGGCAGTTTTCCAGCCAGAATGCAAACAAGGAGAAAGTTCATGGTGAGCTCCGGCACCTCTTTTTCTAGAAAAATTGCATGGCTGATTGTCATCAAATTGCATGGCTGGTGCTCTGTATGAAACCCACAGAGCACCACTGCTGACATTCTTGCTGCCCAGAGGTTGCAATGAGCATATTTTGATCCAAGATCAAAACAAGTCACAGACAGGAGGCGGGATGCTGTCTGAGAAATTAAGGTTGGCTGGAGGAACAGGATCTGCAAAGAACTTGTGATGATGCACTGATGCTCAGTATTACCAAAACAATTTGCCAGCTGACTAATGATGCTTAGGATGAAGGAAGTATTCTCTCTGTTCCCATTTTACACAGGATGGACCAGGCACACCTAGAGACTAAGGCTCAGTGCTCACAAACAGCAGATGAGCTGGTCAACGTGCTCCTGGGCTTCAGTACTTCAGCGAAGAGCAAGTGGAGGATCTGTATGACTTCATTCAAAACAATTATTTAAATGGTTTTCGCCTTGCCTTCTCTCTGAGCGTGATTAATTTTCTCCATGCATGGAAATGCATCCACCCCAACCTTTTTTCTTTTCTTTTTTGGTATGGAGGAATATTCAACCAAAGGACGAAATGTCACCTTCCCCATGCCTCCTTTTTGCAATAAATTGTGTGTAACGTGCCACTCGCTTCTGAAAGCGTTGGAGATGCAGCAATCCGTAAAGGGTTTTTTGCTTATGTCGCCAAAAGCATCCTTGAGCATCTCTTGCGCTGTTTGTGCTTTGAATGTTAACAGAGGTTGGGAAGTGGGAGAGGGAGAGAAAGAAAGACACTAAAAATCAAACCTATCATTTAATTGCAGGAAGTTTTGCATTAGCAATATATACTGCGGGGAATGCAGAAACGGATGTAAATGTTATGTGTCACTGAACCTCAGTAGGGATATTGTATAGTTGGAAAAGGTGCAGAACAGGGAAAGTGAAATTTATTATCCGAAGACTGGATAGATTTCCCTAGGAGAAATGGTTACAGCATAAAAGAGATCGAGGTGGGGGTGGGGTATCTGCATGGCGTGGAAAAAGTCGATAGAGATTTCATTCACCCCCAAACACCACTGTTTCTCCCTTTTTTCTAATACCAACCCCAATTTGGTCATTCAGTGAAACAGAAGGATGGGAGATACAGGACAGGCAAGAGGAAATACTTATTTTCATTGCTAAACTTTGGAATTCACTGCCTTAGGGGGTAGCGAGAGCCACTTAAATGGCTTTAAAAGGGGACTAGACAAATTCATGGAGGTAAAGGATAATTTGTGGTTAATCATGATTTATCTCCAGGAGAGCTGAGTGCAGGGGAGGAACCAAAGTTGGACAAACTACCCTAGCAGGAGCATGATGTGTCCCCCGCCAGACTACTGCCCCTCATCTAACACCCCATACACCCTAGAAGGCTTCTAGAAGCTGTCAGCATGTGACAGCAGCCACACCCTGGGAACGGCTTCGACTGGCCAGCTAAACCAGGTGAGGGTAGCCAATGGGTTTCAAACCATTGGTGAGTTAGGGACTTCCCCTGCATGCAAAGACAGACTCTAGCAGATGGAGCTTATGAGACCAATAGTGGGTCCAACAGTCAAGAAGGTGGTTTCTGCACATGCTGTAGAGCAGCCTTTCTCAACCTGTGGGTCCCCAGATGTTCTTGAACTACAACTCCCATCACCCCTAGCTAGCAAGGCCAGAGCTCAGGGATAATGGGAAGTGTAGTCCAACAACATCTGGGGACCCACAGGTTGAGAACCACTGCTGTAGAGGGAAGGGAGAGGCAGATGGGGATCATCAGCCCAAGAAGGTAGCCCATCTAGGAGAAGGAAAACTGATCCTAAACCTCTGCTGCCTTGCGGGACATATTTGGGAGAAGAAAAGGCTAAGGTGTAAACCCTACACAAATACAGAGTGGAATCGCTAAGAAAGTTGGGTGGCGCCTTGTATGCCTCCTTCCAGCAACTCCTGCAGCCAAGCTGGTGCCAAACGTATTGCTCTGCTTTCCTTTGGACCACATCAGTGAGGCCGGTCTTGTCATCTGGGCAGCCCAGGACCTCCATGCATATTGCCCAGGCTTGTGCCCCAGGGGAGGTCCATTTGGTGCTGCTAATGCTGTGGCTTGACTTCACCTCCAGAGGCGCACTCCATTGTCTCTTGAGACAGACAACAGCCACAGCAACCTCCAGGAGAAGAGAGAGCATGCCTCTGGGTACCATTGTCAGTGGGAGACCGACAGCAGGATAAGGTTATTGTCTTCATATATAGCTTATGGGTTTCCCTTCTGGTTGGTCACTGTGAGAGAACAGGATGCTGGACTAGATGGGCCCCTGGCCTGATCCAGCAGGGCTCGTCTCATGTTCTTACTCAAAGGGAGTACCAGGAGCTCAAGATGATACACATTTTCATCAAGTTTTCCTCATTACTTCACCTGCTAATTCTTGTTAGGAAAAAACAATACTTTACTCCACACCCAACAGCACATATACAGTGATTGCTACTTCTGCCTGGAATGTGGTTTTGCAAATGTCATGGGTGGCTGTTGGCACTCACTGCAAGCCGTACAACTCCAGCCTCCAAGTATCTGAACTTTTTAAAAAGTTGTATTTTAGTGTTTTGCATATTTACTGTTCTAGGGCCTTACAGTTCCTTCAGAAGTGGTTATTTAAACTTGCTTTCCCTTGATTTCCCTATACTGCCAGTCAGGGTAGATGATGCCATGATTTGACTTGGTATGGGGCTATAATGTTATTAAGCATGCTTTCCCTTTGTTTTATTGTTTCAGGTGAGCGAATTTTTAAATTGAATTTTCAATTTATTCCCGTCTTACCACAAACACAGCCTCCTGACAGATTACACAATAATTGCATCATGGGGGGAAAAACACCCATGAAAGGTTGGCATTCAACATACTAAAAGAAGAAATGTTCAAACAGCCAGAAAAGACTGAGTAACTTTGGGAGACTGGGGTTGTCTTTCTTGTAAATGTAAAAGGTAAAGGGACCCCTGACCATTAGGTCCAGTCATGGCCGACTCTGGGGTTGCAGCGCTCATCTCGCTTTATTGGCTGAGGGAGCCGGTGTACAGCTTCCGGGTCATGTGGCCAGCATGACTAAGCCGTTTCTGGCGAACCAGAGCAGCGCACGGAAACGCCGTTTACCTTCCCGCCAGAGCAGTACATATTTATCTACTTGCACTTTGACGTGCTTTCGAACTGCTAGGTTGGCAGGAGCAGGGACCGAGCAACGGGAGCTCACCCCGTCCTGGGGATTCGAACTGCCGACCTTCTGATCAGCAAGTCCTAGGCTCTGTGGTTTAACCCACAGCGCCACCCACGTCCCTTTGTCTTTCTTGTACATATAAGCATATAAAACTGCATCAATCTGTTGTGCAATAATCTTTGTAGGAACATTGGAAGCTGCCTTATACGCAATCAGACCATTGGTTCAATGAGATCAGTATTATGTGCACTGATTGGCTGTGGCTTTCCAGGGTACCAGGCAGCAGTCTCTCCCAGGCCTGCCTGGAGATTCCAGGGATTGAACCTGAGACATTCTGCGTGCAAGGCTGATGCTCTTACCACTGAGATACGGCCCTTGTCCTTCCACTAGTAAAGGTAAAGGGACCCCTGACCATTAGGTCCAGTCGTGGCCAACTCTGGGGTTGCGGCGCTCATCTCGCTTTATTGGCCGAGGGAGCTGGGGTAAAGCTTCCGGGTCATGTGGCCAGCATGACTAAGCCACTTCTGGCGAACCAGAGCAGCGCACGGAAACACTGTTTACCTTCCCGGTGGAGCAGTACCTATTTATCCACTTGCACTTTGACGTGCTTTCGAACTGCTAGGTTGGCAGGAGCAGGGACCGAGCAACGGGAGCTCACCCCGTTGCGGGGATTTGAACCGCCGACCTTCTGATCGGCAAGTCCTAGGCTCTGTGGATTAACCCACAGCGCCACCGGCGTCCCATCCTTCCACTAGGCACTGTTTATTGGTAAGTTTCGCTGTAGTAGCCAGTCGCCATGTTTCATTGAGCCAAGATATTACATTAATGGCGGCCTCAATACAGGATTGGGAGCACAGGAAGCTGAGTTTTGTAAATACCCTTGGTTTTGTTTTTCTCATTTCTTGGTGGAATTAAAAGGAAGTATTCTCTCTCTAGGCTGAACTGGGGCACACCCAGTATTGGTATGATGAGAGCTGTGTTTAAAGTAGTAGCGAAGAGGGAAGAAAAGAAGTGGCCCTGTGGAAAGTCTCTGCCCTCTGCACATAACAGCTGAGCAGCAAGAATGTTAAGTGATGTGCTGTGGCCAGAGAGAGATTAAAATTCAACCCTCACTTTAAATGAGAGTAGTTCTGCTCTCAACTATGAAATCCACAAATGGGGGTGGGAATCTAAAATGGAATGAGTGTTATATTCTACCGTACTGGCTGAAGCGTAGTTTATCATCATCTTCTTGAATCAATAGCTTTCGCTTTCTCAGCAGTATTGCTCTGGGACACGAAGGCAGGGTAAATTAGAACAGATCAATATTTTATCCCACTGAGCTAAACCTCACATTTTGTGTGTCTTATCGTCTCCTATTTCCCAGGTAAAAAGCTCAGGGAGGAGGTGATGAGAAAAACCTGGGAGAGCTGCTGCCAGTCAGAGTACAGAATATTTGGCTAGATGGATAAATAGGTCTATTCCAGATAGGGATGAGTGAACCTGCCCATTTTGGTTTCTCATTTTTCTAGTTCTAAGTTCAGTTCTTCACATTTCCCCAAAAAAACCACCTTTTTTTAAAAAAAATAAAAGGCCTCATGAAAATTCACTAGCATTTTAGAGCAAACTTGTCTTAATGTACACATTTTAATATGCAATTTGGCCTATCACACACACTTCCTCAAATCAATTTCCCCTAATATAGTGGATTTTTGTATGTTATTTTCATGAACATGAGCATGTTATGCACACTGTACCCTGTGGGTGGTAAGCTCCACATTTGTGTAAGAAAACCGGATCAAACGTAGGGTTGCCACCGTCCCTAGGAAAACGTGATCACCCCATTTCTGGACAAAAGTGTCCCCTGTCCTGTTTGGACTTCAAACAGGACTCCTTTCCCCCCCGTATTCGAATGTGGCCAGCCCAAAATGGTGGTTGTGTCGCTGTTGGTGCAGCGGATGATGAGGCTGGCCTAGCGCAAACAACAATAGAGAGAAGGGAGAAGGAGTGACCCCATTTCCCTCCTCCCGTCTTCTCACTGGCGCTCTTCCTCAGGTCTAGCATAGTGTGGGTCTGCTGCTGCTTGATCCCCTCTGCCACCCCGACCTGACATCTCCTCCTCTTTCCCTCCTCCTCCTCCTCCTCCTCTTCCTCCATGCCTGAGTCCTTTTCGACGCTAGCACGGGTGAGTGGCTGGAGCTGTGGCTCAAGTCACCTGTGGGAGACAGCTGTCTGGCCCCTACCCATAAGTCAATGGTGGTGAGGGAGGCAGAAGGCCAATTGCAGGAAATTCCCCTCTACAAAGGGGGGGGGGATTTGGTGTCCTAAGTGTGCATGCGCCCCCAATCCCCACCCTGACCTGTCCTTTCTTTTGCCTGACCTGCCTTGTATTTTGCCAACCCTAAGCAAACAACAGCTATACCATTATACAGTGGTACCTCGGGTTACATACGCTTCAGGTTACAGACTCCGTTAACCCAGAAATAGTACCTCGGGTTAAGAACTTTGCTTCAGGATGAGAACAGAAATCGCGCAGCAGCGGCAGCGGGAGGCCCCATTAGGTAAAGTGGTGCTTCAGGTTAAGAACAATTTCAGGTTAAGAACGGACCTCCAGAACGAATTAAGTTCTTAACACGAGGTACCACTGTAACAGGTAAGCGCAAAAAGGCGCTTACTGGAAGCAATTTGCCAGGATTTCAGGTAGAAATCTACCTGGAGATGTCAGAGATTGAACCTGTGCCTTTTGCACAGAAAGCATGTCCTCTACCACTGAGCCATGATCTTCCTCCAAAGTTCAGGAGACATTGGCATGGGAACCAACTTTTTTAGATTAGCACCTGTCACCCAGTCCAGGAATTGGTTTGGTCCTGTAGCAGCGCTTCATCAGAGCCAAGCCATACAAGAGCAGTTCCAATGACAACAGTAATTTACCCCCACACTTCCATTCTAAGACGTATTAACACATGTCCGGTCCATTCAGTCACACAAACATTAATTCATACATATTTATTTATTAAATTGACATCTTGCCCTTCCTCTCAGAGGCCCTGGGTGGGGAACACACACTCACTCATTCAATCAATCATTCATTTGTTCATTCTCTAATGCGGAACAGGAATGCAGTTGCTCTGGGAATTTGAGCATGGTAGTCTTGCTGCCTACTGTAGCAATCTATCTGCTTCCACCATGCTCTGCTGGTATAATTCTAAATAAAACGCATATTACAAAGTCACATGTGGTGTGCTTTAAAGGAAACGAAATACTCCATTGCTACATCTGGATTGCTCACCACTTGGGAAACTGCAGAGTGTTTAACAATATTGTTCATTTCATTTCTATACTGCTCTATATTTTAAAGAGATGATTTTTTTAAAATATTAAATTTCTTGTGATAAATATTTTTATTTATTTTCCAGTATTGTTTCAAGAACAGCCTCATTATAACAATGCCAATTTTATCCAATTAATACAATTATTAAAACCAATTATTTATATACCAAATGATCCAATTTAGTTAAAGTGACTTCCTCACGTGCTAGTTCTGATGGGTTCCTCTTTGATTTTTTTGTTTTGTTTTCTGCATTCCAAAATCTCAATAATTTCAATTACATTCCCTTCAAGATAATTCCTTATACAACAGCTACAATCCTTTGGTTTCAATTTGTGTTGATATATTAAGTAATTTATAATGTTTCAAGTGAGGTACTCAGTCTGTAATCATTGTTCTTTCCTGCGTGTGGGAAATCCCCCCCTCCATGATATTGTCTCAACCATATACGGTGTTGTGTTGTGTCCTTCATTCTTCCAACGGTTGATATTTCCCATCATGACTTGGGGGAAGTGGTTGTCTCACAGTTTCCCAAAAGCCTCTGTGTTGCTTCGTCACGTGATTCAACAGCTTGTTAGAGACCCCTCTGTTCCAACAAATAAACTGCCCTCGTCATTTTTTCCAACCTAGAAAGATTCCAAACTGCCAATAATTAATAAGAAAACTTCTGGCCTTGCAGCTGGCGACCCCTCTCATCCTTTCAGCTGAAAAAATTACAGTCAGTTATCTTTCCAATTTGATTACATTCCTAATTGTCTCAGTCTCCTTCACTTCTTTGAAAATAACCGAGTGTGGGGGTGGTTTCGTTCCATATTCCAGCATAGTTATTTCAAAGCATGAATCCCCCCTTCTCTCTCTCTCCATTCCATTCCACTCACACATGCAGTTCCAGTTTGATGTTAAATTTCTTATTATTCATCCAGTTTATTCCACCTTCCACCTTTTATACTATATTTTAATCTTGCATTCTGGGGAGGGTTTGCCGAATCAGAAATGTAGAAGAAAAACTTTGAAAAACAACCGTAGACTCCCCTCCCCCTCACCGTCTCTGGCACCGAAAGGAACTTTAACTCAGTTCCAACCTTTAAATCCTTGTAGCCGAGATGTTCCGCAGTTTGTTGTCTCATTGCCTGTAGCACGTGCCTGTACTTTATGCCAATCAAAGCCCAATTAGCAGGATATCCTCTGCTTCCAGAAACGAATGGGGGGGGGTGTCGCGGCATTCAGAGTGCTCCATGCACCCAGTGCCTTTGCCTGCCCTCGCATTCCACAGAGAAGCAAGTGTCAGACCGCAGGGCAATCCACAGGTGAGAGCCCGTTCCTCTCCCACCCAGAGAGGAATTCAAAGAATGAGTTCCCCCCATCATTCTTTGTTTATCTCCATCCTTCTCTCCCTGCAATTTTGAGGGAGACCTCCTTTCTGGTGCAGGCAGAAACAGGAAGTCTTTAATAATAAATTTCACCTATGTCTAGGCACCTAGACATTATGTTGTGGTGACTGTAACCTAGGTTTAAGATGCCATTGGGTGATTAGCTTATATAACTGAGATGCTGGAAATGTAACTTAAGCCCTTCTGCACACAAAGCAGATGCCCTACCAGCGAGCTAGTGCCCTTCCTCATATGTTCTATGGCAGTGGTGGCCAAACCTGGCCCTTCAGCTGTTTTGGACTACAATTCCCATCATCCCTGGCCACTGGTCTTGTTAGTTAGGGATGATGGAAGTTGTAGTCCAAAAACAGCTGGAGGACCAAGTTTGGCCATCACTGTTCTATGGGATATACCGTACTCCTTAGATAGGCAGAAATACAGAGCCGATGATGTATTCTCAAGGAAAAGAAGATGGCAAACAAAGAACCTTCTAAATGCTTTTTTATATTGTGGCATTCGGAAGCCGTATTGAGAAATAAACAACAAAGGGAGTGTGGTCACTTTAAGGCGTGTTTTTGTGCTGCTGACTTAATAAACTGAAATTACTGATACGTGACTATGCAGAATTCAATAACTAGTTTGTGTGGGCTCAGGAAATTATATATTTGCAAATTAGATTGCGTTAAGAAAGCACTGTATGGGCACAGACTGTTGTCCTGTAAAGAACATTAGGCCACTGAGTTTTGACCCTAGCTCCAGAGAGGAAAGGTAGGTTGATTTGGAGACCATGTCTCCCTCCTCAACATGAGCGCATAATGCTCTCCTGAAAGCAGAGCCCACCCCCTGCAAGGCAACATGCTTACCTCACAAAGGTCTAGAACCTTGCAAGTGTAAAAGCAGCTGAGGAAGAAGTTTCAGCAGGAAGAGGACTGGCAGGGGAAGGGAAACTTACTCCACTCCAGAAAGCCCCTTTTAAGGGGAGTTTAATCCCTTAAAGGTAAAGGTAAAGGGACCCCTGACCATTAGGTCCAGTCGTGACCAACTCTGGGGTTGCGGCGCTCATCTTGCTTTATTGGCCGAGGGAGCCGGCATACAGCTTACGGGTCATGTGGCCAGCATGACTATGCCGCTTCTGGTGAACCAGAGCAGCGCACGGAAACGCCGTTTACCTTCCCACCAGAGTGGAACCTATTTATCTACTTGCACTTTGACGTGCTTTCGAACTGCTAGGTTGGCAGGAGCAGGGACCCAGCAACGGGAGCTCACCCCGTCGTGGGGATTCGAACCGCTGACCTTCCTGCTTGGCAGGGGGTTGGACTCGATGGCCCTTGTGGTCTCTTCCAACTCTATGATTCTATGAAGTCCTAGGCTCTGTGGTTTAACCCACAGCGCCACCTGCGTCCCTTAATCCCTTAGGTGTTCCTTAAATGTCAGAATGTAACATAGTGGCACAACATATTCTTTGTAAGCAAATAGGTCAAGGTTAAATCTCTAGGTAGGGCTGGGAAGGGCTCCTGGGTGGAGACCCACTGCTGGTCAGTTTAGCACAGTACTGAGTTAGAGGGAGCAGGGATCTGACTCATTCTAAAAAAGCTTCTTATGCTATGCTCTTAAGGCAGTTTCCTGTCCATGTTTCACTTACACAGTGACCAAGAAAAGGAAATGTGTCAACAAAAAAAGAGGACACAGATTTGCATATCATTTGCACAGCCTCACTTATATGTGTAGATGCAAATTTAGAAATAGATACTGTAATTTAAATATAATAGTTTCAGGCAGAAGGCTGTAACCAGGTAAGCTTGGTCAATCCGCTGTCCAGGTGTGGTGAACTGTTGATGGGAAGCTTCAAGGTGCTTGCTGGGAAGGTGGGTACAGTGGTACCGTGGGTTACATACGCTTCAGGTTACATATGCTTCAGGTTACAGACTCTGCTAACCCAGAAATATTACCTCGGGTTAAGAATTTTGCTTCAGGATGAGAACAGAAATCGTGCTCCGGCAGCAGCAGGAGGAGGCCCCATTAGCTAAAGTGGTGCTTCAGGTTAAGAACAGTTTCAGATTAAGAACGGACCTCTGGAACGAATTAAGTATGTAACCAGAGGTACCACTGTACTGGCTTTCCATGACAACTTTAGGCTCTTCCCATCTGACCTCCCCACCCTTGGGGTTTTCCCTTCTTTCCTGAATTAATATACAGTGGTACCTCGGGTTACATACACTTCAGGTTACATATGCTTCAGGTTACAGACTCCGCTAACCCAGAAATAGTACCTCGGGTTAAGAACTTTGCTTCAGGATGAGAACAGAAATCGTGCTCCGGCGGCAGCAGGAGGAGGCCCCATTAGCTAAAGTGGTGCTTCAGGTTGAGAACAGTTTCAGGTTCAGAATGGACCTCTGGAACGAATTAAGTACTTAACCTGAGTCACAACTGTACACTGTTGGGCCTCATGACATCTCCCTGACTTCAGACCCAGAGGTGAGTAGAGTGGCAAGGAGTGCCCCCACCAAGGCAATTTGAATTAAGTTTGTTTGTTTATTCGAACTCTTGTTCGAAACAACAGAGTTTATAATTTGGAGGCCTTCCCTTAGTATTAAGAAGTTGGTGATTTGAGGACTTGTCCTAAAGTCACATGGTAGTTCTAAAGATTTAGAGCAGGCATAGGCAACCTTTGGCCTCTCCAGATGTTGATGAACTACAACTCCCATCATCCCTGACCACTGGTCGTGCTTGCTGTGGGGCTGACAGGAGTCATAGTTCAGCAACATCTGAAGGGCTAGTGGTTCCTCACACCTGGCCCAGGGGTTTCGTTGCAAAGCTTGTCTGGAGACTAAAGTCGTTTCAAGACATTCCTCATTCCTCTAGTCCAGCCTTTGCCAACTTGGCACCTTCCAGATGCTGTGGACTACAACTCCCATCGGCCCCATCACAATTATTTTCTTCCAATTATTTTCTCTTATGGCTCCCTTCTCATTGGGAGTGCCTCTTATCCAACAGGCACTCACTGCAAGATTTAGATGGGAGGGGATGGCAATGATAGCCTCTTACTTAAAGGCCTATGAATACAAGGAGCCAGACCTGCTACACACTT